TGCCTGAAAATAACAAGTTCCTTTGCTACTTATCCATTTGTTTTGAAATTTGTGAGTATTCAGGAGCAGAGAGAAAAGTTTAAAAGTAAAAATTAATGTCACAGGAAAAAAATACATAATAGAATCTATTTTAGAAGCAGTTCAACCTTTGGTCAACTCACTGGGATATAATTTGAGAACATTTGGTCTAGTCCAACCCTCCTCCCATTTTACAGATGAAGAATCACAGAGATCTTATTCTCATCTCTGGTCTCAAGTTCTTCGTCTTCCAGCTCTGAAACCCTAAGACTTCCATTTGTTTCTTCACTGCCACTGAAGACAAATAGCTGGTTTATTTAAAAAGAAATAATAAGAGGAAACGGAGTGGTATGTTAAAATAAGGCACACTCTCTTATACTTAGTTCTGTAACTTTAAATATTATTATCTCTGTATCTTCAATCAGTTTGTAAAGGAATCAAAAAAGTAAAGCCACACACCTTAAACCTTTCTTCCCCCAATCTCACATCTGTATAGAGCTTTGCAGTTTAAATGTACTGAAAACCTCTGCCATTTGCAAGAAACATATTCCCAAATCTGTAATTTTCCTCCAACAAAATGTAGTTACACATAATATCACAAGAATTACTGACTACAGCAAGTACTGAACAACAAAGTTATGTTTAGACGAAAGTTCTGGATGGCTGGCTCAGCCTACAGCCAGCTGAAGGATCTATTCTACATATACCAGCTTCAAAGCAGGATTCAAAATTTGTGCGATAGCAAAATTATATATTATGTCACAGACCTTCAGGGTCCCTTGCAAATAGTTGAAACTGTGAATGTGGAATCCACAATGCTTTAACTTCCCTTATCTCAGCTCTGTCACTTACTTATATAAATTTAGACAAATTACTTATCGCTCTTTGTCTCTGTTTACCCATTTGAAAAACGGCAATGATATTGGATTGTTGGGTTAATTAGATAAGCGATATATATAAAAAGCTTAGGACAGTGTCTGACAGTGAGTAATCAGAAAATGTCAGTTAATATCTCATTTGAGTCTCATGACTCAGAGGTATTTTAATTCCCAAGGTTTGCAGATGAGGCATCTGTCATGAAGTGGAAAGAACAATGACCTTGGAACCTAAGGATATGGGTTTAGGTTCTGGTTCACTCACTGAGTGATCTTTATGAACCACTTGACTTTTGGGGCCTTAGTTTAATCTGTAAAATGAAGACAACAATACTATTT